ATTGAGAGTTAACAGCTACCTCCCAGTTTTACTTCACTTTTCCCTCAGTCTTACATTCTGATTTGGTAGCTAGGGATTGGACCTGTGACCTTCTTGGATAGAGGAAAGCCCTAGATGAGGAAAAGCCTTTTGCCAATGCAGAACTGTATCCGCTCTAAAACATAATAGTCTTACAGAGTTTCCAAGAACACAGAGATGTGAAGGAACTTGCCCAGGGCCACGTGGCCAGTATGAATGAGAGAGAAAAAATAAATAATCATGAAAAAGGTCATAAAACATCCATTAAGATACACTTAAATAGGACAGCTAGGTGGCACAGTGCATAGAGCACCGGCCCTGAAGTCAGGAGGACCTGAGTTCAAATCCGGCCTCAGACCAAACACTTGACCCGCACTAGCTGTGTGACCTTGGGTAAGTCACTTAACCCTGACTGCCACACTAAAAAAAAAAAAAGATACACTTACATAGACCGAGTACTACCCTTGCCCTTTGAACAAAAAAAACACGGTCTGAATTTTTACCATAAAATATACTGCTCAAGTCCCTAAAATTTGTACCACTATTTCTAATTTTGCATGAATATGCATCCTCTCTTTTGAAGGTCAGCTTCCCTATGGTTTCATGCTAGAAGTACTGAATGAAATTATTTTCATTGTGAAAATTCCACATAAATCCTTAGACAATACTTTATTGGCTAGACTTGACAGCATGAAAACCTAATCCACATTCACATTGTGGGAATATATTCCCACTTTACCTCTTAAAATATCTATACCTTCTTTCATGTTGGGAATATGGCATAGTCCAAAATGTACTGGACTCGGACCAGTTGACACCTACTATATATATATAACACTTTCCTGATCCCTCCATAGCTGTTAATGTGTTCTGTCTCCTTAAATTGAACTTGCTACCTTTTTTTATCTGTTGTATCCTCTACTAAAATATAAACTCTCTGAAAAAAGGACATTTGATTTTTAAAAAAATTTTCATCTCCAGAAACTAACACAATGTGCCATCTTGAACACCATAGGCACATGATGTTTGCTGAATCTATGAATGAACTAATGAATTGATTTCTGCTGTTAGAAGCAGCCATTGCAAATAGCACATTTCAATTATCATCAATGTTGTTTCTCCTCCCTAAGGTTTAGTTAACTTATAAATTAATTCATACAGAGTAACAAATATTTTGGAATACTTATGTACATTTTACTGGGTGTTATAGGGTATATAATGAAATCTAATGGATATCTCAAAGGTTTATTTGGAACTCAGAACACATTTCCTTAGAGAAATACTCAAATACATAAATGAATCTATGATCAAATCCATTCCGAAGTTTCCGCCAACGATGCAGCCCAAAAATCTGTCCATGTCTGCCTATTCTATGCCATTCTTATCTGCATCATTCTGAAAAATCAGTACAGAGGGGTTCCATCCAAGATTCTGGAGGCCTTCCTCACTCGTACCAAGGTAGCACTATCTGCTATGTATTGCTCTCACCACAGCCCATGTTCTCTTCCTGTTGTACCATTCTTTGACGAGAGCCTTTACTCCTCTTTCTCTTTAAAGGGTCTTCATTGGTTGTAGCGTGTTCACACCCACCTTATAATTCTCCTTTGCCTCAGTGTGACATTTGGCTTTAGATCTTTAGAGAAGACAGTGGTGGTTCCAGTTCTCATAATCATACAATGCTAGTGAAAAGTTTCTATCGAAAAGCTGGGCCTTTGGTTTTATGGGAAGGTCAGGATCAGTAGAAGCGCTTTAGTTTTCTCTGATACTCCTTTTCAACTCTGGGCCCCTAGCCCATTGGCTATCCGTCCCAGATACATATACTTATTCTACAAGTCCTACTGGGTGCAAGTAGAAATCTGGTCAATAGATATTCTTATTCCATTTAGTCCATGTTACATTAATAGATAGTCCAAACTCCTCTGAGGGATTACAAATCTTCCAGGAAGCTCTGTAATGTCCTGGGACTTGATGCAATCAACACAGTGTCATCAGCAAATAGAAGCATCTGGACAATCTCACAATCCACAAAGGTTCCCTCCTTGACCTGGACTCTGTATTAGATCTCCTCTACCACAACAGAAATGCTTTTGGCACCCTGCTTTAGGCCTCACCTAAAATTAGGAGAGTCACTGAATGGGGTTTAGTTTTGTCAATACATCTTCTGACTGTGATATATGACTGGAGATGCTTTGTTGTAATAGAGCCTATAAGGCAATGTTTTACCTACCAAAGCAAATGCTTTTTTTGTAATCAATATAAAGTAATCTTATGGGACCTTCAGTCAAATTGTGAAATGTGCTACAGTGTTATACATCATTTGCGAAAGAAAGCCTGCTTATTCCCTACTACTACCCTCATCCAAGGTGCATTTAATTTATATATAAATGATCTCCATAAAGATTTCATATAGATGAAGAGTGAGTATATAGGATGGGAGTTAATCTTGTTCTTTTTATTACTTTTTTCATATTAATAAGGTTCAAGGTTTTTTACATTCCTTTGGTATCTTCTCTTCCCTCAGATTTCCTTATCTATCAGTCCTTCAATGCCTTTGTAATTGTATTTGCTCCAAGATGGAGCTCCAATCTATGTAAATTGATCCAGTCTGGCTGCTTGTTCTGTTTTTGTTTTTTCTCTTTGGTACCATTTCTCTCTCCTCTATAAACCCCTCAGGGATTGCGATGCTAGGGTCTAAATGTGGTGGTTCCACTGTCCTTGAAGAATACAACAGTTTGTTTAAATTTTTTTTTTTGCAAATTCCATTTTAATTCTCTTTGCAGTACTCCTCATTTTCATATTTGAATGCCTTTAAAAATGATTCTGCAAGGCCAAATATCTTGCCAAACTTTCTTTACACTGGTTTTACCCTCCACTGCTTTTCTTCGCTTTATGAGATGATACTTCTAACAATTGTCCATCAACCTTCTTAAGAGTTTACAGACAAGTTTATGTTCTAACCCAGTATTGCCTTTGGCTGACATCTCTCTCCATTTGGCAAATAAGGCATTAAATGTTCACTGACTAAGGCACTTTCCGGGTGCTTCTGGTTTGCCTGTTGTAGCAACTAATTTGCTTTAGCTTTACTTCTGGATGAAATTATTATAATCAATGTCAATTTTTTTGTATATTTCCCACTTTTAATTTTTCAGTAGTTTACTTAAATAATTCAGAGAAAGTCATTTGAATTGTACCATATCTTTTCTCATTACTATTCTTTTCTTCTTATTTATCATAAATTCTGATCTAAGACAAGCTGACTGTCTAACTGTGCACAGATAGCCAAGTCAAAGATAACTCCCAAATCAATAACTAGTTTTTTGTGTCTGTTAAAAGGTAGTCAATTTCATTCTCTGTCATATTATTTGGATCAAATGAGATAATATGTAGAAAGTACAGTACAAATCTGAAAGCATTATATGTGTCAGCTATAATAAAAACAATAATATAATAATTATTGGTGGTGGTACTAATAGCTGTTATCATCAAACTAGTCATTATTATAACCATTTCTCTAGTACATGCCAATTCTTTTTTTTAAGAAAATGTTCATCATATAGAGGTATTAAGTCTTCTTCTCCATAAAAGCGTCTTAAATGGTGTTTAGGTTCCCAGGCTAGCCATTAAAAGATTACTTAATCCATGATATAGGGAAACACTAAATTGAGAGCAGGAGACAAGTGCTTAGTCCCAGCTCAGCAACTCACTAGATAAGTGACTTTAAATATTTATATTTAACAAATATTTAACAAATATTCAACAAGTATTTATCAAGTACCTATTTTCCATGTGAAGAGCATTATGGGAGGATATATATAAAGGTTATATTAAGATCTAGTCCCTTCCCTCACAGATTTTATAGTCTAATGGAGGGATAATACATTCATAAATAGCTAAACAAGACATGATAAGAGATGTATGAAGGGCTTTGTAGATGCCAAGTGAGAAAGGCAATTACCAACAAAAGATATCAAGGAAAGCTTCTTGAAGGAGGTAACATTCAAGGTAGATTTTAAAGGATGCATCAGTTTGTACACAACAGGCAAAGAAGGCAGAGGGTGGACATGCCAGGCACAGGGGAACAGCATAAACAAAAATATAAAAATAACAACAGCAATTAAAGAAATAGCATACAAGGACAGGAAGTGGTCTAGTTTGACTGTAGCACAGAGTTATGTGAATAAGGAGTTATATAAGCTGAATCTGGAAAGGAGGGTGGCACTAGCTTATGGATCACCGTGAATGTCAACTATAGGATAAGCAATGAGGAATCACTGAAGAGCTTTTAGCAAGGGTGTGCTAAGGCTAAATCTATACGAAAGGAAGATTACGTAATCTTACAGCTCGCTAAAATATAGTTTAGTGAGGGGATCAAGTATAGGTAGGAAGCCTGTTAGGAGTCAGTTTTTGCACTAGGCACTTAGCCTGGAGAGCCTCAATTTCTTCATCTGAGAAAAAAAAAACTGAAGGGTTCGGCTTTGATGATCTTTAAGGTCACTTCCAAGCATAAAATAGTGTCATTTTATGAAATTTCATCAGTGGGGATTCCGATAGTAGGAGGTGAGTGGGAGGGTAAGGAGTGATGACAGTGGTTTGTACATAGAGATATCATTTATAAGGCAAGAGTCTGGAATTTGGAGATGCTTCTACAGGCTCTCTGCCCACAACAAACTTACAATTTAAATGTTAAAATGGATTCTTGGTATACCTTCCGTACTTCTGTTCTAAGCCAACAGTTGACCAACATATATGGCAAGATTCAGATTTACTCATAAGAACAACTCCTCTTTACAGTATTTATTAGACCAAAGGCAATACTTTAATTTTGTTATTAGTACTTAAAACAGCCATTTTAATTTTGAGAAGAAACACTATTAACTGTTGGGGTTTTTTTGTTTGTCCTTGTTTGAAGTTACAGGTGAGGGCAGAACACTGCCAGCACTGTTACAGGCATTTCCCATGGCCCACTTTTCACTAAGTCTTACCTTGGTGATTTAAGGCGACTCGGGTAGGTTGTTCTTGGAATCCAGGTTCCACTAGCTTGCTCTGACCCTGAGCAGAAGTCTGATCTACCTTGTCCTAAAAAAGCAGAAAAGCCTAATTAAAACACGAATTTCATATTCTCCAGAAAGTATAAGTTCTTACACACTGTGTGAGATCTCCAACATATGGATCTATGGTCTCATAATGTTGCAACTTCAATCATATCTAGATAGGGACTCATTGTCCCTATATCCTCTAACTCCATCACAAAGAATTTACCTAATGTGCTGGAGACCTGGCTCTCATTCTCTTGAAATCTTCTTACAAACAACATAAAGATTGTGGGCTACCCATCAGTCATCTTCATAATACTCTGATGGGAAACTAAGTATAAAATGACATTAGGCACAAAATGGTTATTTTAGAGCTAGAAGAGAGCTTAATCCAACCTCCTTATTATATAGATGAAGAAACTTAGGGCCAGAGAGGTTAGGCGACGTGCCCAAACTCACATAGGTAATAATCGTCAAAGGCAGATTTGAACCCGGGTCCTCAGACTCCAAGAAGACCCCGTTGGTAGAACTGAGGTGCTCGATTTCTCAGGAGTGCTAGAATAAATATGAACTGATTTTTCTGGCACAAATGATTTTTTCTTGAATGGACATTTAAAAAGAATTACTAGCAGTGTTTGAATCCAACAGGCAAAGAAGGCTGGGCATAGGAAACAGCATAAAGAAAAGCATAAAATCAACAATGGCGATGAAGTAAACAATGTACTAAAACATTAGGTATTCAGAAGCTGCTCTGGTCTGCCTGCCTATTGTCTTGCGTTCTAATTTCTACATTCTCACTTCATACAGCACAAGAGACTTCTATAATGACTATAGATATTTTAGAGTAAGTCCTGATTCCACCTAGGACAGATGTCTAGTGAAAGTAGTCTTAAAGAGTTTCTTTGACAAAATACTTCAGTCCAGAAATTTAATATACAAAATCTTTCAATCAATCAATATTTATTAAGTGTCTACTATATGCCAGGCAATATGCTAAGTGCTAGGGATACAAAAGGGGGTAAAAGACAGTCTTTGCCCTCATGGAGCTTAGAATCTAATGGAGAAAAAAAACAAGCAAACAAATATAGGCAAACAAGCTACATATAGGATAAATAGGAAATAATTAACTGGGGGAAGGCACTAGAATTAAGAGGGGCTGGGGAAGGCTTCGTGTAGAAAGTGGGATTTTAGTTGGGACTTTAAGGAAACCAGAGAGGTCTGTAGTCTGGGCAGAGAGGGGAGAGTGCTCCAGGCATGGGGGGACAGTCAAACTTGCCCAGAGTGAGGAGATGGAAGATTAAAGAGGCCTGTGTCACTGGATCAAAGGATATGTTTTGGGAAGCAAGGTAGAAGTCTAGAAGGGAAGAAGGGGCTAAGTTATGAAGGGCTTTGAAGGCCAAACAGAACATTTTGTATTTGATCCCAAATGTGATAGGGAGTCACTAGAGTTTATTGGATACGGGAAGGACATGGTTGGACCTGTGCTTTAGTGACTGAATGGAGGATGGCCTGGAGTGGGGAGACACTTGAGGCAGGCAGACCCACCATCACATTATTATAATAGTCCAAGTGGGAGGTGATGAGAGTCTGCACCACAGTAGTGACAGTGTCAGAGGAAGAAGGAAGCATATTCGGTAGATGTTGAAAAGTTGAAAGGCAGGCCTTGGCAACAGATTGGATACAAGAAATAGGATATATGGGAAACAAAATTGGATATGAGCAACAGTGAGGAGTAGGGGATGATACCCAGGTTTCAAGCCTGAGGGACAGGGAGGATGGTGTTGCAGGTATACAGAAGGGTGGAGGAGGGGAAGGTTTAAAGAGAAAGATAATGAATGAGTTCTGTTTTGCATATATTGAGTTTAAGATGTCTACCAGACATGCAGTTCAAGCTCTCTGAAAGCCAGATTGGAGGTTAGCAGAGAGGCTGAGGCAGGACAAGTAGATGTGAGAATCATCAGCACACAGATGGTAATTAAATCCATGTTAGCTGATGAAATCACCAAGTGAAATAGTACAAAGGGAGCAGAGAAGAAGAGGGCTCAGGACAGAGCCCTGTGGGAGGCTGACAGCTGGAGCGAATGATCTGGATGAGATTCCAGCAGAGAAGAGAGAAAAGGGGTGGTCAGCTAGGTAGCAGAACCAGGCAAGAGTGGTGTCCCAAAAACCTAAAGGAAAGAGAGGGTCACGGAAGAGAGGATGATCAGGTGTCACTGACTGCAGAGAGAAGGAAGACTGAGAAAAGATCGTGGATCACGCAATAAAGGGATCACTGGTAACCCTGGAGACAGCGGTTTTGACGGAATGGCAGAGTTGGAAGCCAGACTCTAAGGGGTTAAGAAGAGAACGAGAGGAGAGAAAGTGGAATCCCCTACAGGAGATGCTCGTTTCTAGGAGTTCGGCCACAAAGGGCAAAAGAGATTTAGGACAATAGTTAACAGGGATAGAAGTAAGGGTTTTTTCAAGACAGGGGAGACAAAAGAGAATGAGAGCCAGTAGCCAGTGAAAGCTTGAAAAGAAGTGATGAGGGTGTGAATGATTGAGGGGACAATCTTTCGAAGGAGACAGGATGAAATGGGATCGCTTGAGTAGGTGAATAGGTTAGTCTTGGTAAAGCATAAAGCAATCTCATCCTGTGAGACAGGGTTCATGAAGGAGAGATGGCAGCAGAAGGAATATGAGTGATAAGAAACGGGGAAGAGGAGAAAAGAGGGAGCTGATGGGATAGACTCAGCTTTTTTTTTCTGTAAAATATGAGACGAGTTTCTCACAGAGTGGGGGGATGGGTAGCCATTAGAGGTACGAGAAGAGAGGAAAATGTTCAGAAGAGCTACTGTGGAGAGTGGGATAGTGAGTTGATAAGGGAGGTCTAATAAGATTGCTTAGCAGCCGTTGAGGGCCCACTTGAGATTGTGTGACATCAGTTGGTAGTGGAACCAGTCAAAACAGTTGCAGGATTTTCTCCATCTTCATTCAGCAGCACACATGTGAATGCTAGGAGGGATCCAAAGCTGAGGCTTGGTCAGACACAATTGGTGAAATGATGAAAAAGAGGACAATGTAGAGCTGAACTGGCTCACCAATATGTGAATAAATACAATGCCTCACTCTGGATGAGGATCAAAACTGGAGGCAAAATGTCCTTATTTTAAGGGGCTTTAGAATTTTTTTTCAATTATTATTGAGATATGCACTGATCAAAAATTTTAAAAGAGTAATAATACTAATTAATAATATCTAGTATTTATGTAGAACTTTAAGATTTTTTTTTTTTTGCTTTTAGGCAATGGGGGTTAAGTGACTTGCCCAGGGTCACACAGCTAGTAAGTGTCAAGTGTTTGGTCCGAGGCCACATTTGAACTCAGGTCCTCCTGACTTCAGGGCCAGTGCTCTATCCACTGCACCACCTAGATGCCCCCAGAACTTTAAGATTTGAAGAGTGCTTTACATGTTATCTCCTTTGATCCACACAACAACTCAGCAAAAAGTAGGCGTTATTATCATTTGTATTTTATAGATGAGGAAACTGAGGCATAGAGAGCTTATTAAGTGACTTGTCCAAGGTCACACAGCTAGTGTCTGTGACCACTTAGCTGCAGAGCAGCAGAACACGAGGAATGGAGATATAGCACGCAGAAGCAAGAATCACCGGAACAGAAGTCGCAAAACTGAGGCCTAGTCTTGGTTCTGCTACTTACTAGCTGAGTGGCCTTAAGTAAATTCCTTGACTTCTCTCAGTGAAAGCCTATCGTGTCAGATGGGAAACATAATACTTGCAACACATACCACACTGGGTTGTTAGGAGGTTCACACGGGCAAGATGCTACGCAATCCTGCAAAAACTTTACTGATTTGTTCCAATCATTTTTTTTTCCTGGGGTGGGGAAGAAAGAAAAATAAATGTTTGACCAGGGAGGGGGAGTGTGGAGGGAGAGTGTTGGGGAGAGATACATGATAAGGAGACAGTGCGTTCCAGTCAAGAAGGAAAGCTTGGGCAAAGGTGTGGACATGAGGGATGGAAAGTGACATGTGAGGATCTGGATTAAAGAGGATGTAAAAGGCAGTAACTCACAACAATATAAAAACAAGTTGGATCTCAGCTTTGAAGGACTTTCAATTTGACACAGAGGAGTCTGTATTAATTAGAGGTATCAAGAGTTCCAAGATCCTGGTCCACAATGCTACATGAAATAATCCACTTACCTATAAAGTCCTTCTGAGGTTACTGTGTTCCAATCCAATCCAGAAGACATTTTAGAATAAGTAAGAATTCATGTGAAAGTAGGAACAAAGGAGCTCCTGGGCTTGCCTAAAGTTTCTTCTGACCTCTAGGCCTGTCGCATGCCCAGAATAGATATATCTAGACAACTAATATCTTTCTGTACACACCCAAAAGGACGTTCCTTATCTAGAGTTCACTTATCTGGAGAATTTAATTATCAAGAACACAGTGAAAACTAGGAAGGTAAGCAAAAAAGGCCTCTGAACAACCAAAGCAAGTGTCATAAAGTCCAAGCACTAAAGTTCATGCGTTTATCTCATAGGGAGTTCTCATAACATCACTTACTCAGAGTCTATTTATTCTTAATTTACATAAAATCCTAATAAATTTAATTAACTTATTTCCCAGCTTACAGTGACTCAGAAGTAGCTGGAGATGCTAGAGAAGAAGGAAAATACTACAGCAGCAAGAATTAATGTGTAATTTGTTAAAAATTAGAATTGGGCAAATAGAAGCTAATGACTCTATGAGAGAGCAAGAATCAGTCAAACAAAAATAAAAGAATGAAAAAACAGATGAAAATGTAAAATACCTCATTAGTAAAACAACTGACCTGGAAAACTGATCCAGGACAGACCATTTAAAAATTATTGGTCTACATGAAAATCATGATGAAAAAAAGAGCCTGGACAGTATTTTCCAGGAAATCATCAAGGAAAACTGCCCTGAGGTCCTAGAACCAGAAGGTAAAATAGCCATAGAAACAATCCCATTGATGACCTCCTGAAAGAGATCCCAAATTGAAAATGCCAAGGAGTGTC